ACTGGCAAAAAAATTATATAAGCATTGGGAAAGATGCTGTGATGAGTAGCTTGTCCTTCTATTTAAGGGGTACCTATTAGGGGTGTACGAAACTTCAGTCACTGATTCAATTTGGAGAAGGTTAAGCCTGATTCAGAGACTGAATTACTGAATCCAAGTCAAATCAGGAGACCAAAAAAAATCCCACTGAATTGATTTGGAGCCTCCAAATTGATTTAGAAAAGATTTGAAAAAAGATTTGTAGATTAGGAAAGCAGTCTTTCAGGGGAACAGAAACTGAGAAGAGGGAGGAGGAGTGGGGGGGGGAGGGAAGACTGACATCTGTAGCTGGCCAGTGACTGTGATCTTTCCCTGAATTCCCTTCCAATTACAGTGCTCTGCGGGAGGGACATAGAAACAACATACTTCACTTCATCCACCTCCTAGATACAAAACCTCATGGACTCAATATAGACATTGGATTTATGACACACTATAACCTGCCTGACATCTGACTCCCCAGATATCTCTCCACTTTTACCTGCTACATCTCCCTTCCCGCCCCCACTCCCAGCCTGTCTCTCACCCCCTAATGCCTCAATTTACATTTTCACTGACTGGTTTTCTTCCCTTCATGCCAGCCTCTGGCTTCTTTACTATTCATTCCATCCAGGAAGAGCATACACCAACTACAGATGCTTCCTCAGCCTGATGAAGGGTTTTTAAGCCCGAAAGCTTGCTAAGAGATATTTCTGTGACTATTCAGTTGGCTTAAAGGATATCAGATTGACCCAAAGCACCTTGTCTGCCATGTCCTTAGACTGACACGGCTACAACCTATACCCTTTAACACACACACGACACAAGTTTTGCTTTCAGAACCTTGAGGTGCAGTTTCCCAGAACCCATGCACCCATCTCCTTGAAACTTGGCAGGCCTCATGCCTTCAGAAGGCGCTACCATCCCTGCTGTTTTCATCCAAATCTGCCAAAAAATGACAGTTATAGGTATTGCAGTGATTCCCCATTATAGTCTATGGCCGAATCACCAAATCTCTCCGAATCAGCACTGAATCTTTTGAAGCCAATTCAGCTGAATTGATTTGCTGAATTGATTTGGGACAGTGACCCGATTCAGGACAGTGACCATGTCTGAATCAAATCACTGTCCTCTGAATCGGCCGAATCTAAATTGAATACTTCCCTATTTTCACAGGCCTAGTAAATATCTAAGGTACTGCAAACTAAGAAAGCAAAGCAAAAATATAAAACATGTGAACATAGAACAAGGAGCAGCAGTCTCAAGTTGCAGCAAGAGACATTTAGGTTAGATATTAGGAAATTTTTTTTCCGCAAGGAATACAGTAAAGCAGAGAAGTTGTAGAATCTCCATCGCTGGAGGTTTTTAAGACCCAGCTGTACAAAGCCTTGGCTGGGATGATTTATTTGGGGATGGTCCTGCTTTGAGCAGGGGGTTGAACTAGCTGACCTCCTGAGGTCCCTTCCAACCCTAATTTTGTATCTATGAAAGTGAAGCCACTAAAGAATTAGCTGGATTTTGACCAAAAAAGGTAAGTTAAATGGATATAAAGAAAATAAAAGATTCCCCAAACAGCCTGATTTGTTACATGTAATAGAAATCATTGTGTTTTAGTTCTGAAAATGACCCCTCTGGGATTAGAGGTGGGTTCAAACATGGTAGGGCCATTTTTAATGCTTGTCTAACTTTAAAACTTCCATGGATGGTGATTCCACTAACTCATGGAGCTCTGTTCCAGTGCTTCAGTATTTTCAGAATTAGTAAGACTTTTCCTAATCATCTTTTTGCTGCAAGTTAAACCAATTACTTCTTGTTCTACCCTCTGTGAACACGGAGAACAATTGGTCACTGTCATGTTGGAAGACTTATCTGACATTTCTGCTTCCTCAATTTTTTCACCTTAAACCTCTTCTCATTCTTGTTGCTCTTTTCTGGATTCTCTTCAGTTTTTTTTGGTATGTTTCTTAAAACATTTTTTCTGTGATCCCTCCTTTTAGGTAATATTTTAGCTCTCTTTTCTACTTTATTACTATTTTTATAAATATATTCTTCATTCTTCTTCTCTAGCTGGCTAAAATATTTTCCTAACCAGCTTTGCTCTTTCACTCAAGGTATATGAAGGTACATGCAATAGGGTATTTCATGCTTCTCTTGTCTTTGCACTACATTTGACTTTGTTACACATGCTTGTGCTCATTTATTGTACTTTATGAGATCTTTCATTGTGCATGTGCCTTCAAGCAGTGGGCATTGCAATAGGTGCTGCATAGTCTGAGGCTCTGTGCCTTGTGACTAAAGTAGACACAAGCCCTCCTTAGGGCCAGCATTGACAGTACTGTCTGCAAACCTTGAAGGATCTTGGACTGAAAGGAAGGGAGCCATATTAGGAAGACACAAGGTTCCAGGCTTGAATTCTCTGCTGGGACAAAAGGGTTAAGGAGTAGTTGTCTGAAAAATTTAGAGTCAATTAACATCCCGACTTCTTGTCAACTACTGAAATTTTATCAAAAAATGAGAGCTGCTCTATATGGCCTACCAGATTACCAGGTGGAGTGGCCAGGTAGAGTGGCCTACCACAGAAAGCTGATTGGCAATAGGAGGTGGTGGCAGCTCTGGCTCTTCAACGGGACACGAGGTGGAGCTTGGAGCTGCTACCACTACCATGTGTGCTGGTCTGGAGCTAGAGCTCCCATCACTGCAGCTGCTTCCTCATGTCCCAGTCTAGATCCAGCCTGCAAGGAGCCCCACAGTCTAGATATGCCTCAGGGCACAAAGTGAGTTTCATACCCCTGTTTTGAACACATCATTCTAATATAATAAAGGGCTTTGTCTGTCTGTTTGTCTGTGTGTCTGTCTGTCCATAATGCTTTTGGGCAACTGTGCATGTGATTGGCTGCAAGGGCTACGCTTCCTCAGGTAGGGAGGAAGCTGCCGCCACCTCAGGTAGGGAGGCAGGAGCCCCACTGCTCCATGGGAGGAGGTGGCGATGGGCAGGCGGGGGGGAGGGAGGAGCCACCACAGCCACCTCCTCAGGTGCAGGGAAGCCCTGCTGCTCCACGGGAGGAGGCAGAGGTAGGTGGGTGGGTGGGCGAGGGGGAGGGAGCCGCCTTGCCTCAGGTGGAGGGAAGCCTCGCTGTTCTGTGGGAGGAGGAGGCGGCAGGCAGGCTGGGGGGAGGAAGCCGATGCTGCCACTGCTTCCTCAGGTGGAGGGAAGTCCTGCTGCTCCCTGGGAGGAGGCAGACATGGGTGGGCAGGCGGAGGTGGGCGGGGGAGAGGGAGGTGCTGCTGCCACCTCAGGTGGAGGGAAGCACTGCTGCTCTGCCAGAGGAGGCAGAGATGGGCAGGTGTGGTGGAGGGAGCCGCCACTGCCGCTGCCACCTCAGGAGGCGGGCTGGGGGGAGGGAGGGAGCTGCCGCCTGAGGTGAAGGGAAGCTTCACTGCTCTACAGGAGGAGGTGAAGGCAGAAGTGGGCAGCCTTGGGGGAAGGAGTTGCTGCTGTTACTGCTGCCACTTCCTCAGGCAGAGGACACAAAGATTCGGTGCCTCTTTGGAGATTCGGCCACAGACTAAACAGGCAGCAGTCCTCACCACGCTGGACACAGCTGCCTCCAGCTGTAAGTCTGTTGTGGTGGGCAGAGGGGGGAAGGGAAGCAGCATGGGGGAGGGAGGGATTGGGGCTGGGACAAGCTGCCCAGCCAGGGTGTGGGGACGCGGAACTCAGGGAGGGGCAGGGGGCACAGGATGCGAGCACAGCAATGCTGGCAGCAGGGGCTCTGCCCTGCTGCCGCTTCCCCCCTTCCACCTTGAGTGAGCCATGCCTGCATCCCACCCCCACCCTGCCCCAGCTGGGCAAGCAGCAGCAGGGCAGAGCCTTTGCTCACAACACTGCCAAGCCCACATCCCGCACCCCCCTCCCTTGCTGGGCAGCTTGTCTCAGCCATAGCCCCAATCCTTTCCCCTCCCGCACCCCTTTTTCCTCCCCCATCCACCCACAACAACAGACTTACCAGTTGGAGGCAGCTGTGTCCAAGGTGGTGAGGACTGCTGCTTGTTTAGTCTATGGCCAAATCTCCAAGGTGGTGCTGAATCTTTTCCAAATCGATTCAGAGGCTTCTGATTTGATCTGGACCTTTCAATTCAGATTTGAAGATTCAGCCATTGAGTCGGGTTGAATCTCCTCAAAATCAAATTGGCTGCCAAAGCTTTGCACAGCCCTACTGAGAGAATAATACACTGATTTCTAAAGAATTCTGCAGCTAAAGGACACTGTTCTCTCTTTGCAGCACTACAGGGCATCCCCATACCAGACAGGTGACTTAGTTTGGTGCAGCTCTTTTTGTGTTGGCAGATCTTAACACACAAATGCTGTGAAGTTAGAGAGAAGCCTTAAAACTAAGGTTCTTTCTACCAAGCAGATTCCAGCATAAAGCTTTACCCGTACTTCACAGCCAGGGCGGCTAGGATCTGGAACCAACTTCCAAGGGAGGTGGTGCTGGCTCCTACCCTGGGGGTCTTCAAAAGAAGGTTGGATAATCACCTCGCTGGGGTCGTTTGACCCCAGTACACTTTCCTGCCATGGCAGGGGGGTCAGACTCGATGATCTGCTCAGGTCCCTTCTGACCCTGCCAACTATGAAACTATAAAAACAAGAGGTGAGTCTGCAGATTCATTTGCATCTATAATTAGTTGTTGATATTAACTTTTGTCAGAACAAGACTGTTGGTGGGTGTGGTAGGGAAATGAAGGTGTTAAGACACTAAATAAAAGAGGATGGGGAAGGTTCACAGCAGAAACTACAAATGAAGCAGAGAGAAACAGAATAAACCTTCATGCATAATGCTGTTTACACTTTTTTTTGCTTTCTATATGAAAAAGTTATTGTTTACAGGAAAAGAATGCATTTCTTACCTCAGTTGTTTACCATTGTTATATGCCAACTTGAATAAAAACGTACCTACTCAATGAGGAAAAAATCAAAGATATAGAAACACTAAAGAACACTACGGAAAGCTTTGTATTCTATCTCTACCCCTCTTCTTGAAAAAAGAGCCACTAGAATAGTTCAGGAATGTCTCTGCTGCTTTGTTGTGTTTGCTGGCATTTCACAAGTTACCAAAGATGCCTTAGGGTTACTCTTTGGTCCCAGATGGGAGAGATTAAGAGTTCCAAACAAATAAGTACTTCTTGATTTGTTGACATGTTGCTTAAGTCTGTGCTAACCTTTCGGGGTGTGTCTGGGGGAGTTCTGAGACCAGAGAGGGACAGCCCATATAAGGTATTTGGCTCACATTGCTGTTTGTCTAAGTACTTATAAATAGCTGTTTTCCCATGCATATTTTGTCCGTCTCTTCCTTTTGTTATAGTTAGAGCTGTTAAGGACTATGCAGAAGCTTAGAGAAATCAATGGTAAGTCTTAATCAGTTTACTTTGCTAACATACTAAAATGGCAACCTAGGAAGCTTTTTAGCAACAGGGAAGTCTGATGCCTGTTACTTCTGGGGTACCAGTATATGGTCATACAGGCTTGGATATGGGGATGTATATATGGTGTGGCTACATTTATGTTTTTGTGTTTTCTGAAATCATATATTATACCAAGATGTGTGAACGTATGGGTATAATGAGTGTCTGCAAATAGATAGATGTTTCTTGCTCCTTTGTATGTACATAATTAACTCTGGATATCTGATTAATCCAGGGGCGGGCAATTATTTCGGGCAGAGGGCCGCTTACTGAATTTTGGCAAGCCATTGAAGGCTGCATGACAGGCAGCCAGGGGAAGATAAATACTAATTTTCTAAATTTTGTAGGGGCCCCATGGGCCAGATGGAATGGTCTAGCGGGCCGCATCTGGCCCACTGGCCACATTTTGCCCACCCCTGGATTAATCTATACATCTACTGATGATGCTTTGTGCTCATATGCATTCAGTTAAATATTTAGTGTGCAATTTCATTAAGTATTGATGCACAATGTTACTTATAATAACCTATACATACAAAGGCAAGAAATGTGGAAGATTACATCAATGAACATAAATTAGAATTTAGGTAACAAAAAGTTGATAAGTAAAACACAAAGAAACCAGGAAAAAATCTACATCCAGGAAAATAAAGGACAATAAGATGATTTTTGAAGAATATTAGGAGCAAATGGAGTTTTAACTATGGTATTGGCAGACATGATAAATTGTCAATTATAAGGCATTAAAAGCAGAAATATTGAATATATATATTTCTGTTCTATATTTGGGAAAAGCTAAATAAAATACACATATCGTGAAAATGAAGAAGGAATACTGTCCATTCTAACAGTATCTAAGGAAAATGTTAAGTAGTAGCCACTCAAGCTAAACATTTTAAATTCAGATAACTTACTTCCAATAATTAAAAAACAAAACAAAACAGGTTGAAGGAACCTATATTATGTTGACTTTCAGTAAGTCTTGAAAGCCTGTGGAAGTTCCAGAGGGAAGAAAGAACATTGGTGTTATGATAGTATTTGAAAAAAGTAACAACTTTTGAGTATGTAAAAGGCTGCTGCAACAAAGGAGGATATAAGCTGTTCTTCCTGTTCATTGCATAAGAACGAGAAATAATTGGTTTCAATTATAGGGAGGGAGACATGGTTAGGTACTGGAAAACCTTGGGTAGTTAAGCACTGAAATAAATTGTCTAAGGAGGCTGTGGAATCTCCATCATTGGTGAGGATTACTGATTAATTAGACCTGGTTAAACAAACATCTCTGAGGAGTGGTTTAAATATAGTTTATCCTATCTTTGGGGAGGGAGATGTCCTAGTTAAATTCCAGAAGAGTTATTAGCTAGGTTAAGTCCACTTTTTAAATCTAAGGCAAAACTGCCACAATACAGGATTAAGCCCAGTTCTCTTTACTACTTGTACTAGGAATACTGCTGTAGCATTAATTGCTTACAACTGGTAATTATTAAAAAAATAATGGTAACCCTTATAAATAATAGAAGTCTTGATTAGTTTAAAATAATTACTATGAATTCTGCTCTATAGGATATTCTACATTGCAGTCACAAAAGTGATTGCAGTATGATAGGCCCCCTCTACATGTTACAGGTATTGCACAATAAACTGGTGAATTG